TAATAAGGTCCATGTTCCAATCAATGGCGTTTGTAAACATGTGCATTGACGTTATCGTCGAATCCCAGGACTTTCGACGGCAATGCTGGCCTGCCTGCCTAGGTCCCAGGCCAACCAATAATAATTAAAAAAATGTATTTTTTTAAATATAGGCCTATGGCGCATCCTAGTACATGCACTTCAACTTTTACAACAAAAGCCTAGGCCTAGTAGTAGGCCCTACGTCCTACTGTACTTAAGCCTAGGCCTACACTAGTTTGATGTCGTCGGGGTACAATTCTGTCTCTAAATGCAGCGTGAACACTAGGGAAAATCAAAATTCCTAAGATTGGGTCTAAAAGATTGCTTTTAAAAACCCAAGATTTGCAAAATATTATTATTGCCTATATACATAAACTTCATTTTAAAGTCCTTCATTTTAAAGCTTTTTTTAATGAATTATATACTGTACAGTATTTTGTACTGTATAGGCCTTAACGAAGTGTCTGGATTTTCGAGAACAGAAACTCGTTCGCTTTGGGCCATACTATTAGAAGCCCTCTGTGCGTCCGTGGAAAATCCTTTTTGGTGACTAAAACGTGATATCATTTCCTCTGGCATTGTATGTTAGGCCAAGAGTTCGAAGTTTGTGCGCAATTTCACCCATTCGATATTAACAAAGTCAGTACTTCACACACATTAGGCCTATGGCCTACAATACTATATAAAAAGGCATAATCGATCTTTACAGAGTGTCTAATTGATCTGTCAATTTTATACGAGGGGCCTACAGTATTGCATAGGAGTATTTAACAATATGAAAAATGGGGAAAACAGTTTCCTTTGAAATTTACTTAGCGAGTGTGTATGAAACCGGGTCTATGGCAATTAAAATTTGATACTACGCCTAGAAGTTTAAAGATACGGACCCTATTAGTAAAAACTGTTGAATTCTAAATGATTACAAGATGACCAAGCATATGATTGAATCAGTCTAAAATGATATTCAAAGATATTATACAGCTAACCGCTAATGCTTGCTTTGCATGTCTATCACACACCGGCACTCACGAATGTATGTAAAAATTGGTCGTAAAATTTGATAACAAGTTGACCATTAAAATCTATTCTAAATATTTATTTGAATTCGTACACCGATATTGTTTCAAGTTGTTTGTTTTCAATATTATAGCTGTTTCATTACGATGACAATGTTTTGAAATCGTACTGTATAACACTCCAAAATTTGTTTTATGGCAAACAACAGAAGGCTCTGAATTTTTACAAGTTGACCAAGCGTGTTGCTGCATCATTATTGTTCAATTACGATCACTATTCAAACAGAGAGCAGGCTCATAATTTGTTTTCCCACAGCTATTTAGATGTCGTTGTTGGTAACTTTTGTTTTAATTGTGAGTGTAAATATTCTTTAGTGTATATACTGTAGATAAGAATTGCAGATAAATAATGAACATAAAATCAATTGTCGATGGAGAATGGCGTCAGTCATCTGATTAGTCCCATATTAATA